GCGATCTAACCCCGTTTAGGTCGGCGAAATCCATCAAACGTTGCTTGATCCTAGGGCTACACCTTCTCCACACCCTTCTGCTCAGGGCTGGCATAGAGTCATACCCAGGGCCAGAAATCTACACCTGCTGCGTATGCCAGAGACGACTGCATACAAACTCCACCTCGGTCAGGTGCAATGCCTGTGACGGGTGGAGTCACGTCCGTAACTGCTCGGGCCTGCGTACGCACCGGCAATGGACCACGTCGTTCGTGGCCCCATGCTGTGCGAACCGGACCGCCTCCACGGCAAACCACCACCCGCCTGGGCAGCACACAATCAACACACCCATACCCCACCACAACACAACAATAGACACACAAACAAACACAATAGCACCCACACACCGCCGCCGCCAACTCCTAGTACCTCCGACAATCTGCTGTGTTTGTCAGTCCAGAATATACCGTAACGTGACATCAGTCAGGTGCAACTCTTGCCTCGGCTGGTACCACTTTAGGGCATGCTCAGGACTTCGCAACACGCGAGATTGGACGAGTGACTATGTGGGCCCCTGCTGTGCTGCCCCGTCGCATTCCTCCCCCGCGACGCCGCCAACCACCACCACAAGGCAGCACCCCCTTTTGCAGCACGTACAGCAGGGGGCCGGCAGGCAACAACCCTCTTTAATACCACAGCACACAAAGGTGCTACAATTTAACTGTAACGGACTCCAGAGCAAGTTCGAGGAATCACGGTCTTTATGGGAAGGCACGGAATATTAATAGCTGCGGTCCAAGAGACGAAGTTGCACGGCAATTCAACCCTGTTGAATTGCGCCGGATACAACTTGCACCGTCGAGATAGCGAGCGAGATAATGGTGGAGGTTTAGCGTTCATCACGCACCACACCATGCAGTATCGTCTCATTGAAGCAGACATCGACCGCAGGGATACCATCCTAGAATGTCAGGGTACTGCTATCCGGTCAGGCGATGTTGAGCTCGAAATATTTAACGTATACATACCCCCTGTCACCAGCTGCCCGGCAGGATTGTGCAACAACTGCCTTGCTCCAGGGCATTTCGTTTCAAAATGCCCGTCGACTTACAAATGCAAATCATGTTCAGCTCGCCATCATTCGTCGCTATGTAGAAAATCTGAAGTGAGTTCAACGACATCGCGCGACGCTAGTGCGATTGTACACACTCATTTGGGTAATTCGTCGTTCGAGCAAGTAATTCTTGCAACCGCAATCGTATTAGTGCGAGATGCTGCAGGCAATTACCAACTTGGTAGAGCATTACTTGATTCGTGCTCACAAGTAAATTTTATAACTGACAGTTTTTCGCAAAGTCTACGCCTGCAAAGGAAGAAGCAACGCGTGGAAATTTTAAGCATCGGCAATTCACCAACAACCATAAGGCATAAGGCTATAGCTACCATCAAATCACGTCATTCAGATTTTGAGTTGGCACTTGAGTTTTGCGTAACGCCACACTTTTCACATCAACCAGTGCCTGACATAGACGTTTCATCCTGGAACTTGCCAGCGAATATAAATCTGGCCGATGAACATTTTCACAAATCGCAGGGAGTTGATTTGCTATTAGGGACTGATTGCTTCTTCAACGTCCTATCCATCGGGCAAATTAAGTTAAAGGAATCACTGCCAATCTTGCAGAAGACTTTGCTGGGGTGGATCGTTGCTAGCAAATACAATTCACCAACAGTTATCGCAGCATCCATTCCACCCTCACTCACGTCGTCGCTAGCTACTTCATGCAGCGTATCGGATACTTCGCTTACCAATGGTCCAGCATCTATCAACGTAGCATCGTGTTTGTTATCTTGTGAGGAAATAATACAGCAGCAATTGGAGCGATTGTGGCAAATCGACAATACGACTATCAATGCATCGACACTCACCGATGAACAGGCTGCTTGTGAAGCATTTTTTGTGAAGACCGTGGATCGTGATGCTACGGGTCGAGTCATAGTGCAATTGCCCTTTAAGAACGATGTCGCTGTTCTGGGTACATCGTATGGTACTGCGCTTAGACGGTTCATTTCGCTCGAACGTCGCCTTCAATCGCAACCGGAAGTTAAGTCACAATATGTAGATTTTATGCAAGAATATGAGGCATTGGGCCACATGACGAAACTTGAAAACGTTGACTTGTCAAGCCCACATTTCTACATCCCTCACCACTGCGTACTTCGGCCCACCAGTACCACAACAAAGCTACGTGTTGTCTTCGACGCGTCGTGTCGCACATCTACCCAAAAATCGCTAAACGACATACTTCAAGTGGGAGCTACCATCCAAAATGATCTTTTCATTTTGCTACTTCGCTTTCGTCTACATCGCTATGCACTGACTGCTGATGTAGTAAAAATGTACAGGCAAGTGCTAGTGCAGCCAGCTCATCGCCGCTTCCAGTCAATTTTGTGGAGGTCTTCACCGATGGAGGAACTGCGCTCTTTCCAACTAAACACCGTTACCTATGGCACGTCTGCTGCACCATTTTTGGCAGTGCGTACGCTCAAGTACTTAGCCGACCAGTACGGAACTCAGTACCCTCTTGGTGCACAAATTATCAACTCTTCTTTCTACGTCGATGATTTGCTCAGTGGTGCGGACTCATTTCGTGAACTCTCGCAAATCAAAAGGGAGGTAACCGAAATTCTTAGCAAGGGTGGCTTTGACTTAGCGAAGTGGCACTCGAATTACCAAAGCCTTACGAACAATGAGGAGGAAAAGTACATGAGTTTCGACAATTCAAACACAACTAGCACACTAGGACTAACATGGAACCAAGCACAAGACATGTTCCAGTTTTCGTTTAAGCCCAAGAAGCCGTTTAATGGTAAGGTAACAAAAAGAACAATTTTATCTCTCGCTTCGTCGTTATTCGACCCGCTCGGTCTTTTGTCTCCACTCACAATCAAGGCCAAAATAATGTTGCAAGAGCTGTGGCTATTAAAATTGAATTGGGATGAATCGGCGCCACAAAACCTACATACGGCATGGCACAATCTCATCACCGATTTTGTTTCGTTGCCATCGATTAGCGTGCCAAGATATTGCGTCACACAACCCAGGGCTTCAGTACAAATACATGGATTTTGCGATTCGTCCAACCGCGCATATGGTTGTTGCTTGTACCTTCGTTCTACGGATCATGCCAATCGCACAACTGTGAGATTGTTGACAGCCAAGTCGCGGGTCGCACCGATAAAAAAAGCGATCGTTGCCGCAGTTGGAACTGTGCGGTGCTCACCTACTCGCAAAGGTATTTCAACAAATACAATCTTCCATGAGCAAGTACTACGGACATACATTTTTTTGGTGCGATTCGTCAATTGTGCTGCATTGGTTACGTTCGCATTCAGCTACACTCTCGACGTTCGTTGGCAACAGGGCAGCGGAAATTCAAGAACTCACCAAAGGCTGTACTTGGAGATACGTACCTACACAAGATAACCCTGCAGATATCGTGACCAGGGGATGCACAGTCCAGGAACTTCACGACTCAATCTGGTACACGGGGCCATCATTTTTGTTGTTGCCAGAGGACCAGTGGCCATGCAAACCAGTGCATAACCAGTTGGATATGGCAGAAGTTGAAAGGGAAAAACGCAAATCTGCATTCTGCATTGTCGCCCATTCAAACATGCTTGATGTCATCGAAAAATTTAGTTCGCACATTTATTCACTTCGAGTGGTATCTTGGATCTTTCGATTTTATTACAAAATCAACACCAAACTCAACAGACCCTTCGAGTCGGCCTCGTTAACTGCACAGGAGCTTCAGCATGCTCTCTGGTGCATCGTGTGTTTAATCCAACGCCATTATTTTAGCGCCGAGATTGATCGTGTCAAGACGAATCGCGAGCCTCGAGGACCTTTGAAGTATTTGAACCCATTTATCTCTTCTACTGAAGGGTTCATGCTATTGAAGGTTGGCGGACGCTTGAAAAATGCTGACCTCGTAGAAGAACAAAAACATCCTGTGTTTCTGCCTTCGAAGAGTCAGTTCGTCGAAAATTATGTTCGTCATTTACATCGCACAAACTACCACGCTGGTCCGAAAACGCTTATTGCTCTCATCCGTCGCCGATTTTGGATAATCAATGCAAGAAATCTCGCTCGCCGCATTGTCAATGGTTGCATCCACTGTGTACGCTACCGTCCACGGCTTCTTGAGCAAATGATGGGTAATTTGCCTGTAGAGCGACTAACTCCGAGCAGACCTTTTTCACGAGTTGCAGTTGATTATTGCGGCCCAATTAATACACACCTTCGGATCAGAGGAAAGGTACCTTACAAGACCTATGTCGCCATTTTTATATGCTTATCAAGCAAAGCCGTACACATCGAAGCTGTTTCGGATCTTTCGACCGAAGCATTCGTCGCTGCTCTAAAGCGTTTCATCGGTCGCAGGGGCTTGCCCAGCGACATCTTTTGCGACAACGCTACAAATTTTGTGGGAGCGAAGTCCAAATTAGCTGCCCTTAAAGACTTCTTATTTGATTCAAAAACGCAAACCGAAATAGTAAGTTTTTGTTCACAAGAATTTGTTAACTTTCGTTTTATACCCCCCAGAGCACCCCACTTCGGCGGCCTATGGGAGGCTGCGGTGAAGGCAGCCAAAGGTCACTTAGAACGAACACTTTCTGGTGCTCGCTTAACGTTTGAGGAGCTGTCAACGGCATTAATTTAAATCGAGGCCATTTTGAATTCTCGGCCCATTGCCCCACTATCCACAGATCCAAGTGACTGCGAAGCGTTGACTCCGGGGCACCTGCTGATTGGGTGTTCGCTAAAGGCACTACCAGAGCACTCAGAATCGTACAAGCAGATCGATCACCTAAACCATTGGCATCGAATCACAGCCGTGAAGCAACACTTTTGGCAGCGCTGGTCACATGACTATTTAAATGAATTGCAGTGTCGCACCAAGTGGACCAAGGGCAAGACAAATATCGCAAGTGGATCGCTCGTTATAATACACGAAGACCACGTTCCGCCACAAAAATGGGTTATGGGCAGGATTTCGAATTGCATTCCAGGAAAGGATGGGCTAATTCGCGTCGTTGACATAAAAACAACAAAAGGAACTATTCGACGCCCTATTCACAAAATCGCACTGTTGCCTGCTTGAAAGTGATACTTTCAAGGAGGGCGGGATGTTGGATCACCGCAGTTATATTTTACAACGCTTTTATCAACTTGCAATGTTGTGTTCCAGAAACTTTCAATGTTGTGGATCCAGAAACTTTCAATGTTGTGTTCCGACACCAAAGCAAAGCTTTGAAAAGCTCCTATAAAAAAGCATAGTGAATAGGGCGAGGTAGATGACATCTAGATGTCGCCCTATGTACTACGTTTGCTACACCGGAAATAGACGACACGCCATTTCTTTAAATAAAATTAGTTTGACTATTGTCAACTAAATCGAATGCTTTGTAAGTGAAGTGACTTGTGGACCACTTGAGGTATAGGTGGACCAGTTGGTAACCACTTTGGGACCAGTTGGTAACTAGTTTGTGGGGCCAGTTGGTCACCAGTCTGGGACCAGTTGGGAACCAGTTTGGGACTAGTCCGAAACTACTTACCTTCGGACCAGTTGGGGACCAGTTGGTCTTTTTAAGCTCCTGTGGCCGTTTTAAGGGTAATTCTTGGGCTCCTGCACTGCCGCTCGGGGTTTCTGCCTTCTACGGTGGTAATTTTGGGCCGGGTTGCCTGTTTTGGCGGATTGTTGTGCTGTGTGCCGCGTATTACGTGTACCGGGTACCACTTTCTCGAGCGAATTGCTCTGGGGAACCTGTTGTGTGAG